AGGGGGAGAGAAAATAAGCACTGAGGTTATGTCATTACCTCGTTCGAACGCACTTGTTGCCTGTGAACGGCCTGTCTTGAATTTCAGACATGTGGAACAGACCGAGAACCTCTTCAATGCAGGAATAAGAACTTTCGATCAGTGAACCCTCCAAATGGTCATAAATCTGGAACGGGAAGGAAGAGTCTTATTCGTGTAGAGCTCTTTGCAGTCTCGCTTGAAGAAGTCGTACACGTCTCTGCGTCGGAGAGTATCTGAAAGATGAAACTGGTCGCTATTTGGCATACTCTCTGTATTGTATCGGAAATATTCATGCAACCAGGCGAGAATTTGTTGTGATAAAGCAGATAATCCGACTGATCCTTTGTTTGCATGCTCGTACAACACCATTCCTTCTCTAAATTCTTTGCGTATCTTTGCAACACGTGTAGTCGAGCATCCGTACAGCTTTCTTCACACTTTTGTGCAAACCTTTACGCCATTGAATGTCACCCTTAACACCTCTAAATCTCCCTCATCCGAAAAGTACGACGCAACCCTCATCTCTGCGAGAAAGAAGTTGAGTTGCTCAGGTTGTTTCATCGCCCAAAATTCTTCGCGCTTGTAGAAAACATCTACTGCCGTGAACTTCTTGTAACAGTTGGTCTTTCAGCAATCTTCCTTCAGAACTAGTTCGACATTCTTCATGTTCACGTGGTAGTTAGCTTTCTTGTTTTACACACGTGCGTTCCTGCCGCGCTTTCCCAAGTTGTAAGGAGGTTTCTCACTCTTGCTTGATTTGTTGTACAGTCCCCTTCTCACCTCCTGTGCTATTATCTGCTTCGCTTCTCCTAAAAATTTTCCAAACAGACTCTTCTTGAACATGTCGACATCAATTCCCGAATCGTTCTGCCCTTCATCATCCTCAGAGTCTGTGTCTTCTGAATCGGTATCCTCGCTCGTTTCCTCCTCCTCATCATCGTCGTCGCTCGATTCGCCCTCCTCATCATCGTCGTCAGTGGGTTCCTCTTCCTCAGTGTCGTTGTCACGCAATTCTTGCGCCACGCTGTCGTAGAGCGTTTCTTTCACAACAAAGTTCTCGCTCATGTCCTGTACATCGTCTCTCTCTCTGGATTGTTCGCCTTCAACGTTCGGGCACTGCCGCTTCCCTGGGCGCTCTATCTGCATTGTGCTCCCCGTTTTGCCAGTTGCGTAGAGACCCATCACTGTGTTTGCTGCTCGGCATGGCGCAATAACCTTTCTTGTTGTCGTGTTCGATCGCGGACGCTTCGGAAACAAACAGACATTGGTGGTCCTCACACCAGTTGCACTGAGCTTCGGAGAGTGTTCTGCTTCTCACCTCCGCGTGTACAACATTGACGCAGGTCCGGAAACCACCTGCTATTCTTTGTCTTGACACTCTTGGCATCAACACTCTTCTTACATTTAAAAAAGGCCTGGAAGCCATCTCACGGGGTTAATCTTATGAGTACTCTGAGTACATCTTTTGGTTAAAGAATCCATGGCAGGAACATATAATATGACAACCTATCTGGCATCTAGAAATGACGATGGCGTCACCTACAAAAAAGAAAACTCGGTGTTAGCAAGAGAAAGTGTGTCGGAGGACGGCCGGAAGAGTGTCGCTAACGGGCGTAGACTTCTTGGACATGGAAGATATGATACGACAACCTATCAGGCATCTAGAAATGACGATGGCGTCACCTACAAAAGAGAAGACTCGGTGTTAGCGCAAGAAAGTGTGTCAGAGGACGGTCGGAAGAGCGTCGCTAACGGACGTAGACTTCTTGGACATCAAATCAAAATAAAATGAGAACACCCGCTACTGCGACCCACGTCAAGAACATCATTCGCAATTTTGGATTTTCCGCCAACGGATTTTGGAGAAGTACAAATTTTGAGCCGGTAGCAACTGGGATCCCCGTAAAGAATATCTTTAAAAATTGTCACTTTTCCGCCAAGGTTTTTGCAAAAGTGTAATTTTCGGACCGTTAGGGACAAAAATTCGAAAAACCCGGACTCCCGCCAAAACAAATAATTTTGACCGCCCAGCCACTGGGATCGTCGTCAAGAACATCGTTAAAATTTAGATTTCCCGCCAACGGTCGTCTCGAAAATTGAAATTTTAGAGAGCTAGTGACCAAATTTCAGAAAGCCACGACCCGCGCCCAACTACTGGGATCCCCGTAAAGAATATCTTTAAAAGTTGTCAATTTTTCTCCAAGGTTTTTGCAAAAGTGTAATTTTCAGACCGTTAGCGACAAAAATTCGGAGAGCCCGGACTCCCACCAAAATAAATAATTCCGACCGTCCAGCCACTGGGATCGTCGTCAAGAACATCGTTAAAATTTAGATTTTTCGCCAACGGTCGTCTCGAAAATTGAAATTTTAGAGAGCTGGTGACCAAATTTCGGAGAGCCACGACCCGGTAAAACAAACAATATTGAACGCCAAGCGCCCGCTTATAGGTTGAATACGGAATTTTACTTCTTGGAGACCAAACCAGGAAAATTTGGACGGCTCCGCTACAAGATTTCTGAATTGTGAGAAAGACTCCGCAAGGTCGGGAGCGACAAAGAAGAATTTCAAAGAGGACGAGCATCGTTGAGCGTCGCCGTAGCTCAGAGAGCAAACATACAGATACAAACAGAGAGAGAAAAAGCAAATGTCGTAGATGTTTAATGACCGTGGTTCCAGTGTAGATCGTCAGGAGTATCGAATAAACAAATTTACAAACATGGAGATAGTTAGATAGATAG